CTATCACAATTTAAATATTTCAAAATAACAGAATTATATTCATAAAATTTGTGGTTTTCTACATTATTTGTCCTTAGATAATGACCAAAATTTAATTTTTACTGATGTACTATCACAATTTAAATATTTCATAATGACAGAAGTATATTCATAAAATTTTTGTTGCGCTCAAATGATTTTTATTAAAATGGATCTTCGTGAAATAGGATGTCAGGTTATGGGTTTGATTCATCTGTCTGAGGACAGGGTCTAATGACAAATTAAGTATCTCTGAAATGTCAGTAATTTTCTTTGAGGCTACGTGACACATCCCAGAAGAACGTTGTCATCTGTCTTAGGAACACGGCATCATAACACGGCTTAGTATATGAAATGCTCCGTGTGGGTAAACATAAACATTGATCCTTAATCTTTTATGAATGTCCCGAACTTAGAGTGGCTCATCAAGTGCTTCATCCTTCGGACACTTCTGTTCGCATATTACTCGTTATATTGTTTTAGGATATCACCAGCGTCTGCCTTGAAGAGTATAGGAAGAATCTGCAGTTTGCTTTAAACCTTGGCACTCCCCATTCTCGGCTGTTAAGGTTTTCCTGTTCGTCTCCATCGACAGAGTTACCACTCAAACAGGCTTATCACTGGCCTGTCAGATGTCGAAAACGCCCACTCATAAAACAGCCTCATCATTTATTGGATTTACCAAACTTCAGATATAATTTTTGTATGTGTTATATTTTTGTTATACTATCTGTTAGTTCGTCTCTGTTTAGTTTACTTAACGACGACTTCTGGTTTCAGCTGTAGCGATTATATAGCGCTGAATGGGAGAATGTAATAAAATAGTCAAGGCCTATTTTAATGTACCGTCCAAGCTGTGAGGACAGCATGTCCATTGACTAAGGATCAAATTTAGAACTACAATTTTACAAATTTGAAGCAGGAGTGCTAACCACTCAATCACAGTATTAGAAGTAATCTTTTACTGTTAATAACACTGCGTCTCCGTAATTTTAAAATAAATTTTAGTATAACTCGTATGTTACAGATATTGGCAGTGTAAAATATAAAATTTTGCATTTATATGATCTATATAAAATCATATATATATATAATAAAGATGAAATTATGATATTAGCCGTTCTAAATAGTGTACTTGTGGTAAATTTCGTACCAAATTCAGTAAATTTTGAGGAAGTTAATGCCATTATACAGGATTAAATCAATGGCTGTGATAAATTTTGCTGTCTTACGTTCTTAACATAAAGTGTTTATATCTGTTTTCTAAATGTTTTTGGTTATTTGCTAGTCCAAATCCCCACCAGATAAAACAATTTAAACATTTCTTTAAAACACTGAAGTTAAGATAGAAACGAGATAACTGAATTGTAAATGATATTTTGATAATTAATTTTAAATGACAAAGCTGTAAGGTATAACTTTCGGCCACCAAAATTTTTAGGTTAGAAAACCAAGGAATAGTATAAGGAAGACAAAAAGTTTCTTATAAAATATAATGAAACAAATGAAGCATAAAATATTTATTGCATTCCACAGAATTTTTTATGATTTGATTTTATCATCAGCAGAGATTTTACAATTATTGTTAAAATTATTTCGGTGTCACAATAATAATATGTCTTATAATAAGCATTTACAAATTAACGTACCTAAATAATATCTAAAATGCATCGAATTTTAGCTATGAAAAGTACATCTTGGGTTATCTTCATTATAATAGGATATTTTTCATTCAAACATTTGCGTAGTATCACGAAAGTGCCTATCATAAATAATATTTTATTATAAATACGCGTCTTTTTGGTAATTCTAGATTTTTCATGAGGGTACAGAATTTGTTTGTGATAATTCCAGTGCAAAACAGAATTACAGTAAACCTTCAATTATCTCTTAAATTGCACAGTTCCTTTTATGATGCCAATAATGTATTCTTATAACATAATTTTCATTAGGAAAACCATTAACCTAAAATTACGCAAGGCTAATTAAATCACTACAGTGTAAAAAAGTTAATTAAAAAAATGCAAGTCATTAGTGGACTTTTTAAAGTTTTATTGGATGAAATTTGTTAAAACTGAAAATGTCCATCAATTACTCATGTCCGGAAAAATAATTTGGCAACACCAGACAGCGTCTTCTAAACCTGAAATTTATTAAATCACAGGTTCACTCTACTGGAACTATATTGATGATTTTGGTGATAATTGCCTTATCGTTCTTAGGGAATATATGTTTTGTTACTTTTTCTTGAGATTTTTGTATATATTAAATCTTATTTATTGATTTAAATCTTTATATAATTATATACACCTGAGGATGGTTCTTTTAGGAACTGAAACATGAAAAATGATGGTCTAATGTAAATCGAATATTTCGATAAAGAACATCATTTAATATTTTAAATATTTTAAATGTTAATTATTGTAATATTTTAATATTTAATAAGAATTTATTGTGATTAGACGGACAAGATTTAATATATACTTATTATATCACAATATGACGCAACTTTACCATCTTATTGAGATTTTTGGTTTAAAAAATGTTGTCGCAGTTCTCAATCTGCTAGACTGGGGGCCTTCGAAGTACTTAGCCGCTGCCCTCTACAATTCCGTTTACCTCTACGCTAATGGAGAGAACACAATTGAGCTCACTGCCTTTACAGGTAGCTACTGTTCGGCAGTCAAATGGGATTCTAATGGAGAGACATTGATAGTAGGAACAAATAATTCTGTAATTCAGGTGAGAATTTTGTTAAAACAGTTGAATATTCATAACATTTTTTAAAAAAAAACAAGAGAGATTTGACAAAGCCGGTCGCAGTGGGCACGAGATCTGAGGCATAGATCTCATGCGCTTCGTCGCTGAGACCGTGGGTTCGAATCCGACTCAAGCCAGAGATATCTGCCCTTGTCTTTGTGTTGTGCTGTCCTGTGTACAGGTAGAGGCCTTACGACGGGCCGATCCCTCGTCCAAGGAGTCCTACCGAATACGTAATAAGATTAAATAAATGAATTTGTACCTCGACACCTGCGGGTATAAGACGATAAAGATTTTAAAAAATATATATATTAAAATATCGTGAATACATTGTAGAATTTGCTGTTTAGATATTTTGCTGAAATTTATTCTTACCGTAAAAGTATATATAAAAAAATTAAATAACAATATAACCTCCGAGTTGTTTAATTTAATAAAATTGATAAATATCAATGTATGTTTTTTTTCTTTAGGTATGGAATACGGAAAGCAGAAAACTTCTGGAAGAAACAGTCTGTAACTGTACGAGTACATTATCTATCAGTTGCGCTATCAATGCTCTCGCGTGGCATCCCAGTAACACATTATTTGTAAGGTAATATTAATTCAAATATACAAATGGGAGAGATGGCTTATTGACAGATAATCAAATTAATTCAGTGTTTATTAACTCCCTCATATTTTAACTTCTCCATCTACTTGTTTACTAACTCTGTTCGGTACACGCTGAAACTAATACCTTTGGTTGAATATTAGTGTGAATAATACAAAATTGCATTATTTTATGTGTTATGACAGTGCCTTAAAGTTTCGATATTAAAATATTTTTTTTCCAAAAACTTTCAATGTACAATCTCTCCTGCTAAAAAGCTTCGTTAAATACATCAAGAATTAATCAAATTTCATAGACCTTTGATGCAAATTTAAAGGATGTTTTTGATATACGAATTACCATTTAGGGTCATATTGTGTCGTAAACAATAAAAAATTTGTTTCTGAGTGCGGGTCGTAAGATTATCGTGCGACAGTCCTTAACGAGATGTACAGCAATTGACGACACCGTGAATTTTCTGTATTATGTTAAAAATAGCAATTCGTAAACAAATATTTTTCTGTGGTTAGATCTGCAATCTGTATCCTTCTCCTTCCAAAATTAAATAGGCCTTAACTGGAAGATAAAACACCTAAGGAAACGCGTTTACAAAAACTTTTTTCGGTGCTGCGTAGAACACGTACCCAAAGCGATACTCTTTATTTCATAAACACTCCGTGTAATGTCTCAGTTTGCCCAAAAGTAAACACAGTATATTTTTATATTTGAGTAGAATTTTAAATTCCACTCGGTTCTGGGTATATTTTTTTTTCAGTGGTTGCTCAACTGGAACTCTGCTTCTGATTCCACTTTCATCCTTCCAACTTGAGTGCGAACAGATATCTATTTTACGTGCACACAAAGGTCAGATTTCCAGTCTGCGATGTTCTCCGGATGGTCGCTTCCTGGCGTCGTCAGGTGAAGACAGTGCAGTCAGACTCTGGCACTGGCCCCATCTAACACCAGGAATGGAAATTACGAGCTTCGATGACCCAGTACGAGTAAGTTTGACGATAAATTTTTGCCTTGTCGTCTTTTAGAAGTCTTTATTGGTCTTCGTGCGTCGAAGCAGGCATAATTACAGGAAATGGAGAAGTTTATCGACGTTTCGGAGGTCCTTGTCGTCTCCCTAATCACGGCGTACCTAGGACATTCTTCATTGCTGTCAGAAGCTAATACGAAGTCATCGGAGCTGTAGACGTCAACATCCCTTAGAATTATATTTCTTGTCTTGTTACCGTAGAATTTCTTCAGATTCGTAATTTAAGATCTAAATTTAAGAACAAATGGGAATCAAAAGGTGGTACAGACTAAGATTTATAAAGAATGCGATGGAAGGAGATGGAACTATACGGTATGAATATCACGCGAACGGTTGTCGTTTTACGATTTCAAGGTCATTGTGGTTCGCAAGGATATGGAGGGTTAAGATGAAAACTATAAAATGTTACAAAGTTTTTGGATGTATAAAGAGAAGTTTTGCAGCGACTGAAGTTGATGAAAGGTTCCTGGGTTACGATCCACGTCAGGTGGTGAATAAACCTCATCTTCTGCCGACATTTCGAGAACAATCTCTGCTCATCCTCAGGGTTTCTGGGTAACAGATTTATTACCCAGCAACCCTGAAACAAAGATACAAGACTAAAATTTTAGAAAATATGCTCCTGGTAAAAGGTAACATTGCATTTCGCTGGTGTATACGAAGTAGATGACTTAACCGTCGTGTTCCTTAAGACGTGACGCTGATATTACTAGAGACTTTAACTGAATGAACGAAAATGTTTTCAGACTATGGCGTGGCATCCATGGAAACCCTCGTACTTGGTCATTGGGGGTAGCATAAGCGGATCTATCACTTTATGGAATGTTAATAAATACACTCAGGAGGCTCGTAAGACGTTAGATTCTTCAGCAGTTCTTTGCAGTTTGGAATGGAGTCCAATTACGGGAGAACTTGTAGCTGGAATCTGGGTTCCGGGTGAGTAAAAGTTTTAATCTCCTCTACTGACTTGTCCCTAGCACAAATTCTTTTATTCTGAGATATATAAGAATAATCACCAGATTCACGTATTATTAAAATTCCGATACGAAACTCGCATCTGATTAGATATTTCAGATAAATATTTGAATATTTTATTGTAATCCCAGAATTTTAAGATTTATTAGATCTGGGGAGATTTTAGATTATCGCAGTGGCAATTAAGGCTTCCGTGTAGTCTGGTAGAAGTTTAACGACATTTTATATTTCCTCGATGTCTTCATTATCAGTGACAAAGCTTATTCAACACCCTGATTATGAAGGCAGAAAGCAGTTCAGGAACATCGATCAACTTCTGTCGGACTACGTGACGCAAAAACATCGTAGTAATTGAAGACATTCGACTTATTGTATAATAAATGCGTACGGAATTCTGATAATATTAGTGGTAAAACATTTGTGAAGGCTGAGATAACCAGAATCTTGTATTATATAACCCGGTCACATCGGAACCTTGATGAAGGGGGCGGAGACAGTCCTGAAACATCGGTTTTATTGTTTAAACATTTGACGCGACCGATTGGTCGAGATGATTTTATAGATTCATGTCGCCGTGAAAGTTTCAAATCGTAAAATATATCCTGTAGTTTACACAAAAAATATCTAAGTCTCTCACCATGCTAATCTTCATTTATTACGACAAATTCTGTTGTAATTTGTAATATTATAATATAATATAAGAATGGTATAATAATGTTTTAAAAAAAGATCCTGTGTAGGTTTTCGTGTAAAGTTTCAATTACTCTTGTCACTAGGATGATAATGATAATTTTTAGTAAAATTCCCTAATATTAAATGTTATAAAATCTATTAAACCATATTTGAGTTTGAATTTTCAGGTTTTTGGTCTGTGTACGTGGTTTGATTTTATAGAGATTAGATCATTATAGCAGAACCCACAGCAAAGGTGCACTCGAGAACATGTCCAGTCCTAGAAACGTGTAAAAATATAAAATCAGACGACGGTCAAAATCCGATAACGTAACCGACCGGATTATATTACGCCATTGTCAGAACACTTCAGAATATATTTTTGAGTCGTTAATTGTATACGTACGTCTGAATAAATTGATTTATTGTTTTCGACAGGAACTTTTGCAAGGTCGTGAAATGCTGTAGAAAATAATATATTCACGTTCTTAAGCCTTCCTCTTAAACATGTATATTATATTCATTAACATTTATCGTAATGCGTAATATTACATCTATGAAACAAGCGAAATTTTATTTTTACGTAATAGGTGAGCAGGGACTATTGGGCCGATCTGTTCTTGTGGTTTTGGCAACACTGAACAAGGTTGTCGACAGATTGGACTATTATGCCGGCCAAATCTACTATCTCCTGTGGAGTCCAGACGGCAAACAAATCGGTGAGGCGTCTATATTTCTAGAATGTAACACAGCCAATAAATTATACTACGAATGCAGGTGATGAGAATTACTGACCTTGTGGGTATACTAATTAGGATTTGAGGTTATCACAGCAGTGAGTTGAAGATGACTGTCTTCTGGTTGACGTTTACCAGACTACACAGCACTAAAACCTATATAACAGCCATCTTAATACGATTATACTGTCCAGATGTCAACATTTCTTCAAGACGTCAATGACAGTTGATGAAATAATTAATATCTTCTTCATCTATGGCTCTCTGGTCCGTATTCGGTCCACGTCCTCCTCAATTCTCCTCTTCCATTCGGTCCTTCTGTTAGGTCCGTCTGTCCGAGGTTGAGGTTTCGAAACATCTTCCTTTTTACGGTGCAAATTTGTTAGCCTTGCGACCAACCCCCAACCTGGAAGACCTTAGTCTGCCCTCTCCCCCATCCAACACGTCATCTAATTGCCATACAACCTTCACAGATAATGATACAAACTTTAAGGGGAAAATTACGTATTTATTTTGAACGTACGAGGTCTGTTCGAAATGTATCGGACCTTAATTTCTCCCACGGAAACAAATGAAGTGCGGGCGGTGTCCTCCGCTGGGAGAAGTGTGTGCAGTGCCAAGGAGAGTACTTTGAAGAGGATTAGAGTTTCAGACCTCCAGGCGAGTAGTCGTATTTTTCCCGGCCGAAGGTCCGATACATTTTGAACACACCTCGTATACTTGAAGGAGGATTTATTTTGTCAGTAAAAATTCCATTTTTGACTCGCTGAGCATATTATTAGCTTCTGAAGAAGGATTCTGGAGTATTGTTAGAGACTTTTCCTGTAAGAAAATGTAATTTTTTACGTGATTTACTTATTTATAGCTACGGTTGGCTCTGATGAAACGCTTCGAATCTGGTACTTCCTTGGACCATCATCAGCGAGGGAAAAGGATATTTGGAGGTTCTTAAAACCAGTGGTTCCTGCTACTTTTAGCATGTCACTGTGTAACAAAAGAAAGAAAGTGGGTGAAAGTTGTCACGCGTCAACAAACGACAAAGGAAAACGAAGTTCATTTAAAAAGGAAGATGTTTTCAGTATACACAACAACAGTTTTGGCTGCGTAATTCGTTAAATATTATTGAATTAATTATGTAATTTAATGTAAATGTTTTCTTTTTAATTTGTCTCGATACGGAGTATGACTAGGGCCTAATACGAGTCCGAACGACTATTCTACGGCTCTAACTTTCTAATTTTTTTATATAATTCTATGGTCATTTTAAATATAATTACCAGACCATGCAATGTACAGTTTTATATCACGATACTCGTCATTAAATAACAGTTTTCTCGTAAATGATCCATTTTCATTTGCCTCGGTGTTACGAAATTATTATAAACTGACATCTTAACGATAACCGATTTAATCATAAGTCTGATGTGCAAAGTAATTTATTTCTTTAAAGATATATTTATACAGTCTCATGTTGTGATGTTTTAATACTAATTACCGCGTAAGAAATAAGGTTTCGTCAGTGAAAGTGCGATAAATACCACAAATATTTTGCTGTTATTCTGTTATCGTATTGTATATTTTGTACATTTTCGATAATGTCACAATTTAACAAAGAAATCATATTATTAGAGTTTATAGGCAGTATTTTTAAGAATATCATGAAAATATTAATATATCTGATTAAGCAGTAACCCACGAGGGATTTCTTGAATAAGGATCCGTGAACTCGCTCTTAACTTACAAGCCGATTAATACATTTCTTCGTCTTTAATGGGAATAAATCGCTAGATCAATCGCAAATAAAAAACGGATTTCTTCAAAGAAATATCGAGATATTATAGAACATTCAAAATCCGATTTTACGTGCAGTGCATACAGTTTTTTTTTGTTAAAATTATTTTATTCTGAATAATTTTTCAGCTAAATAAATTAAATAATGTGAATGAGGCATTTTAATGTAGTGTACTGATTTACGTGTGTTAAGCGTTAACTGCTGTAGTTACTAGAAATAATGGAGTCATGGCTGAAAATGTGATAATTTTTAATGTTTCCAAGACAACATAATACATATAGATTTTTATATAATTTTTAAATGATTTAAAATTAGATGTCGCAAACCTTACACACCCAAATGCCTCATAAACTTTTATTTCTTTATCACAAAAGTAGCGTCCTCAGTGATTTATAAACGGCATAGAATTTGTTAAACCATGAACGTGGTATATTTTATTTGAAGGTTGGACTTCTGAAATGTGAAAGTTGGTATGCTTTTAAATAAGTGGGTGGATTGGTTGAGACGACAGAGTTACATCTTCCACCGCTAGGTGGGAGGACACGACTGTAAAGTCTTTACGTAATTCAAACTGCTACCGCTGTAGTGCAGCACTAGTATCGCTATGCGTTCTGTTGTGTTCTTTCCCACAACGAAGTACTTGAATTATTTTGCATTTTAATAAGTTCAATCGTTGTCTGTTTTACTATTAGGACTATTAGAACGGAACATGTTTCTGTACGCTAACGATTAGTTGGTTTTATTAGATCGACAGTTGCGTAACCAAATACTGATGTGGTAGATTAACAGAATTACGTTCAGTTTTTGTCGAAAAGCTTCTAAACATTTCGCTTTGGAATAATTTTACAGAAGGAATTATCATTTTCAGACAGGATTCAATAATTTTGTATCTGTTACATTTTTAAATAATCTTAAATTTGTCGTTTTTTCTACATTATCTGTACTAACTCTATTACTCGTGTACCTATAAATATATTAATCCTTTAAAACCGAAGCTCGTCTAAATAATATTTAAGAATTCAGTCCGTACCGCAAAGAAAACACGACAACTCACCATTACAAAGATCAGCTGTTTAAGGAGATAATCGCTTTTTACAGTAAATATCATACGAAACTTAATTACAAAATTAAGAGTTACTGAATATTGGAGAAGACTTAAACAAACACAGGGCTAGATATGTACCTGTTAATTATTTACAGAAAAGATTGATTTTCGTATAAATTAATTTTAATAGAGCGTTTTCAGTGGTAACTTCTAGAACATTGAATATAACGATGTTACGTGAAATAATATAATACATAATACATTTTTCGGTCTATTTTGCATGACTATACGTGAGCTTGGAGCATGTTAAGGTGTGTATGAAGTCTGTATTTCCATTGTTTTAAAGCGTTTATTAATCTTTTATTTATTTATTTAGTGTTCTGTCTGACGACAGGTCCATATGAACAGGATCCTTCCATCCTTTTCTCGGACTGGGACCTGTTCATATACGTTCTTGGCAGATGATCCAGAAGTGGTTTGCCATTGCCTTCTTCTGTGTGTGAATGGAGTAATTGTTGGGATGCCACGGAGGAAAACTCCGTGTTGCCTAGACCACGGCCTTGCCCAACACAAGTTATAAATTCGGGCACCGCTGGGAATCGAACCCGAGACCCCAGGATTACAAGGCCAGCGTTCTAACCGCTAGACCACCTCATCTTAGTTAACAAAATTTACGTACGAAATACGTGGCCCTCACAGTAGGCTACTGTTCGCCTGTTTTAATTTGATTAATGCATAAGATCACTGTCTTAATCGTTGTGCAACTACGCAGGAAGTTGGTCTTATAAGAGTTTCTGTTTCCTGTTAGCTCGTATTAAATATGAATTCCTGGAAAGGAAGACTCATGATGAGAATTACAAGGTGAAGGGCTAAATCGAGTCATACATAATGACATCGAGGCCTTTAACCGATGCAGATGTCCTTGAATATTGTTGAAAGGGATGTCTGTAAAGATATTTCAGTCTCGAAGAATGTCGTGTGTCACAAATGGCTTGTTTCAAGTACAATGATGTTAATTAACAGTGAAATATTTACATTTACCACGCCTTTAAAAACAATTACACCAACATCGAAAGATAAAATTTCCTGATGTTGACGTAACTAAATCTATATTATCACGCCCTGCTCATTTAATATCAATTTATCCTCCATCTACGTCTTGGTTTTCTAAGTTAGTATCTTACTTGTGGTTTTTGAGACTTGTATTGTTACATTCGTTCTAAATGCCCTGAGAATGTTTATCGTTCTTGGTTCAGTCACCCTGGTGATATTTTATGGCGAAGAAAGCCAGTTACAGGCGCTGTGAGATGATGTTGCTTGTGGTCCAGATACAAATGATAAAAATGAGCTGAGTGGCAATTGGGCAGGTGAGGGAAGGAAGGAAGGCAGGTAAACCGAGGCTGGTTGTTCATCTGTGCAACCTAAGTCACAATGTCTGCAGGCAGGCACACGTACTGAGAGAGACAGAGTTGGAGACCGATTCTTTTGTTGGCAGGGACTCGTGCTTCGCAAGTTGTTTCTTTGCGTTCGTGTGACCACCAGAGCTAAGGTTTCTTCATCTATTTGCGTCACTTGTGATCTGTAAGAGCCGGTTCAGTGCTGAAGACTTTTCTCCTTCTTATTTCTACACTTTCACGTCCTTTCTTTCCTATTTATTCTCTCTTTCATGCTTTATCTTCGTATTTTCTTAAATCAGACCAAGACCTTTTCCTTCCTAATCCTTTCCGATGTATTATAATCCTCTCATTCGACGATATATAGTCTGAGCTGCTTTAAAAGCTATTATTATTATTTTATTTATTTAGTGTTCTGTCTGAGGACAGGTCCATATGAACAGGATCCTTCCATCCTTTTCTCGGACTGGGACCTGTTCATATACGTTCTTGGCAGATGATCCAGAAGTGGTTTGCCATTGCCTTCTTCTGTGTGTGAATGGAGTAAGTGTTGGGATGCCCCTTCAGAAAGCAAACACAATTGTACCTTTCGACCTGTTCACTGACGTGGTTTCAAACCGCATGTATCTATTATATACGTATAATCAACAGGTCTGTCATGTCTGTCTCTCCGTCCACGTGATTTACCTCGAGAACCGTTGGATGGATTTGGATGAAATTTGGTACAAAGTTTATGTCATTTTGAACGACCCTAAAATCGCACTTTAGAAATTTCCTGCAATATTCTGGCACCGATAATAGCGCCACTTGTAATTTTTTTTTTATTTAGTGTTCTGTCTGACGACATGTCCATATGAACAGGATCCTTCCATCTTTTTCTCGGACTGGGCCCTGTTCATATACGTTCTTGGCAGATGATCCAGAAGTGGTTTGCCATTGCCTTCTTCTGTGTGTGAATGGAGTAATTGTTGGGATGCCACGGAGGAAAACTCCGTATTGCCTAGACCACGGCCTTGCCCAACACAAGTTATAAATTCGGGCACCGCCGGGAATCGAACCCGAGACCCCCCAGGATTACAAGACCAGCGTTCTAACCGCTAGACCACCGTGGCAGTTTTTAAAAAGCTACAAATAAATAAATATTTTTACTCGTAAAATATTTTATTTATTTATTCATTCTCTCTCTCTCTCTCTCTCTCTCTCTTACTTCCTACACCCACACACCAACACTTCCTGTCGAAAATAAAAGTGTCCGAAATAATTGCCAACTCTTGGATGATGAGTAATCCCTGAACAAGGCTCCACGCTTCGACTGTCTCACAATAACCACGCGAGTACCGTGGGAAGATTCAGTCCCGATATCACGCGAGGCCTTCAGCGTGTCAGTAACACCATTTTGTAACTACGAGGGAGAGATGAACGTTATTTATCTCTTTATTTATTTCTAGAATATTCTTAAGCATCGTCCAGATGACGTGTACGTACGCACAGAGACCAGTGAAGTTACTTCGGTAATTTAGACATTCGATACGTGTCCTCGGTTCGATTCTTGCCAGAATTATCTGGTGTTTTGTCTGAGGCATCTATCAGACATTACAGCCTTCGTCCAAACACAAACAGAGGACTGTAGGTCATATTCCACAATTTTCATCGTGAATTTTATACGAAAAATATTATTATTTCGTTCTACCAGAAAGAATAATTGAGAGTTTATTTTTATTTAGGTTAATATCATTATTATTATGATTAGTGGTAGTAAAATCTACAGGGGAACATGATTTAAGTGTCGGAAATATCAATTATCTGAGCCAACGTAATTTTATGGTATACAAATTTTGTATTTGAGAGAAGCCGTCTCTATTAAGCATAAGAAATTCCGACTAAACTAATCTTAAATCTATTAAAGAAACTTTGGTCTTGGAGCTGTTCTGTTATCAAACTTAGTTTCCGAGCTACAACAGCCGCCCTTTCAGAGACTCGAACTCAGGATATTTTTCTAGAGTTACGACCTTAGTAAAATATCTTTCTGATCTCAACAAATAATCATGCGAAGTTTGGTTTTAATCAGTATATTCATTCTCGTGCTGTAAGCGAACATACAATTTGAATT